CACTGCATTGTATTATAATTAGCGAGTTGTTAGTTGATCTATAATAACTGGACTATATCAGATGATTACTTTCAAACAGTTTTTCGGGTCTTAGAGTAAACTTTAAAAGAGTAAATAATTCTATTTTATTATCACTTAGATTTCTCTTGATTATTTTGAGTATAGGTATTATCAATATCTAGTAATTCTCTAGCTTCCCTATACTGTATGTCTACTTATCCTAGATGGTATTAAGTTCTAGTCAAGTACTCCCCTAGTAGACTATATTATGTAGACTATATTATGTCAATCTATTCCAAACGTCTATGGCGACATATTGTTGTTTACAATATATTATCTATGGGAAGATGTTTACGTAGCAGAGTAGAGAGATGATGTCTATAATACCATATATCTATAAAAACATATATATTTATTTACCTTAAGACATGGATGTGCTTTATAAGTTAATGGACCGCTTGAAGGGGAAATATATAAGGTATACTATAGTCTATTATATGCATAGGTTATATCAGCCGCGCGACGTCCCAAACTCTGAACTTCTTTTTTATTTTTTTTTATAAAATTTTGTATTGATTTGATTTTTATCGGAGCTTCTTTTTTATTTTTATTTTGTAAAATTTTGTAATGATCTTTTTTTTTCAGAAAATTTTGTATTGATTTGATTTCTGTATTTCGCAAGATATTATTCTTAGTATTTTATATGTGAGTGAAGTGTATATTTTGCAGCCTATGTTGACAAATAGTTAACTAAAGCTACTCATGTCATTCACTCGATTCCTATTGTTGCTTCAAACTCGCTGTCGTTGCGCCATATAATTTATCTTTTTGCTATATGCCAAGAGTTTTTGCTGCTTCATCTTAAACTTCATCTGATTTTGATTTTATTGTATTCTATTTAATTTTATTTCCACTGGCTGCCACTTGCCAGCATAATTTATTTGGTTATTTAAGTAAAGATTTATCTGGCTCGTGCATCAGGCGAATTGCGTTCAATTCGACTAAACGAATTGAAAAGTTGAATTGAAACAGCGTTCAATTCAACGTTAATTCGACATCAGATGTCTTGTGATTAAAATTCTTCACCATCAGTTTTCACATTCTTAATCCGGAGGAAATTTTTTTATGAAACTCGATTTGATGTTCAAATTTGCGTATTTTATTTTTTATTTATTTTTTTTTGCGTAGTTTAGCCGATTCTCGACCCTAAAATGTTCACTGAAAATCTTTCTCGAATGTTACTCGGGCTTTTTGCGAAGTTCCAGCGTTGGCAACCAGCCCACCGCACATCTGACTTCGAATCAACGTTGAACTAAACGTTTATTAGTTGAATCAACGTTAATTAAACGTCAGTGCAACGTTGTTTGCCTGGGGGGAAAACTTTTCCCTCGCATCGTGACAGGGTATCAATACAGATGTTTTATATTGCATTCGGAATCTGAATACGTTCTGTTATCTATAATTTTAATGAACTAAAATTTAAATTATAAAATTAAATCGAGAGAAATAATTTACTGTACTTATTATTGTAATTTTCATTCAAGTCGTAATTGTGACGAGGAAGAAGAGTGCAAGGTTGGTTCAATGAAGCTGTTGCGATCAAATATCGAGGCAATGTTTTGATTTTTGCCGCACTAATATACAGATATTTATTCAATGGGAGGTAATATACAGATATTTATCCAATGGGAGGTTTGTCTTGTATTATTCAAGTTTTGTGTTGCTTATGCTGACTATACAGGCAACTTGTAGGCGCCGAGGGCGGCAACTGAAGTTTCAAAGAGGTTCAGTTCACGGAAAAGTCATGGAAGCGAAGTCACAATGTCATTAATTATTTATAATTTCAATTGAACCCTGAGTCACAATGTCATTATTTTGTGTTCTGGTGCATACAATTTGTAGCAATTGCTATTGCCACCAAATGATTCTCTAGTCTAGACGAGATCGAAAGTCAGAGGAGCAGCAAGTTCAATGAAGATGGTTTAATGTTGCAAATGAAGTACTTTTTTAACGATCAGCGGGTGAGAATATGCTAGGATATCTGTCCTCTTTGATTGGAAGACACTTGTTAGTTAACTATTAGTAACTTATTATTTGACTATAGGCCAGTAGGCCTGTCGCCGATTCTGAATATCGTTGAATTTTCACAGCTTGTCGGTCTCGAACACGCAACTCACTGCTTCAATTTTGCTGTACTTAACCGCCCGGCCTCCTCACCGATTTTACCAGAACTCTTGCATGTAGCTGGGATCGAACCCACAACTCACTTCTGAAATGTCGGTATACCATAACAAAAATGAATGGGTAATTGTCTAAATAACAACACACTTTCATACAGCAGGAGTAGAATTCGGACGCTTAATCGTTACGCAATGATGCTAGATACCAGAACTCTTGCATGTAGCTGGGATCGAACCCGCAAATCGCTCCTGAAATCTCGGTATACTATAACAAAAATGAATGGGTAATTGTCTAAATTACGACACACTTTCATACAGCAGGAATAGAGTGCGTACGCTGTACCGATACGCCCTGATGCTGGCTAAAGTGGGTCACTCATACCCACACAAGGGTAAAAAGTGTATCGATATTTGAATTAGGCTTCTCTTATTTTTCTGAGTTTACAATACACTTCCATACGAATGAGCGCAGATAAACAAAACACAATAATTGATTCTGAAACGAGCACACGAACACCAATGGAAGTCACGCATACTGAGTTAATTGCCTCGTGCTTCATCTGCCTACTCAAAGGCCAGAAATTATTAAAATATTGTATAAATTACTTATCTACGATCGTTAAAATATGAATGGTCTTAAGTTTTTAAAGGATGTAGCATTGATGCACAATTTTGAAGCTTAAATTAATGCTTTAATTACGTATAAGCGACCAACTTACCCATGCTCTGGTAAAAAAGTGAAAAATTTTCTAAGTTCACCAGAATTTTAGCTTCATTGATGTATTGCATATTCCCAAGCTCATTCACATCATTCATTTTGCCTTTGCTTTTGAAATTCTTCAATTTCATTTACGCCTTATAATTCAAGCAGTGCGAGCGCAGGGAAGTCGCTGTGGGTCACCCGCTGTTATGAGGCACTATTGACAGAATGCAAATTTTTGATCGGTTTTCTGCAGTCCAATGAAGATTTCGAGTGCCCACACCCCCACCACAACCATCCACCTTCTTGTCACAAGAAGATCTAACCATTATATTATGTACGTCGTCAAATCCGTACTAAAGTTTTTGTTTCTGAGATAAGACATTATATTCATAATGTGGATGTCGATATATGTGTAGACTTTATTCATGATGCGTGATGTTTAGTTTCGTGGATGTCGAAACCTGCATTGTCGCATTATAGGGATGAATTAGATCAACTTGTGATTCTTTATTGTTCAACTTAATTGATGAAAAGTAATCTCAATTTACATATATGAGACGGCCCTTCTACATGCGGCCGATTCCTTTTCTCAAACTCTTTCAAAGCGCCAGATTCAACCAACGCTCGTAGGCACCTACTAGAGGGCGAATGACGTTCAAATCAACTAAACGAATCCTCGTTCTTACTAGTGTTCCATTGTGTTTTCATGCATGGGGCGGTAAAAGATAACCGCACTATCGGCGTCTGAAAATAACACTAAAATGATGAGTTTTCATTCAATGTTCAGATCCACAAGCAAAGAAAACGGCGATCAGGTTTGAAGGATATTTCCAGTGTCGCATAAAGAGGTGCTTGCTAGCAATAGTCTCTGTATTCTGAACGAGTATTTACCAGGTTGCCGCTCCCGCTACCATGCTGAGTACTTATCGTCAACGATAAATTATAATTTAGTAACATCAATAGCGGAGCATATCGGATAATTAATATGCAAACACTCGGATAACGCACGAGTGTTTTTTAGTTCAACTCGGTGACAAATGTGCTCAACAGTTATTGATGTCTAATTACATGTATGATCTTCAATAGCCAAGTGGCAAAAATTACAGCGAGCTGATACGTTCACTTTGATATACTTATAGTCCTGTTAAAAACATTCTATTCTATGTGTTTATGGTAGATGAGGCAGCTGATTTCATCCTGGCCGAAGTGTCCCAATTTTTAGTGATGACATCTGGCTCATCCATCTCCAATCACAGCTCTTACGCACAGTAAAATTTCAGATTACATCTCATTTTCCTTGGCAGATTGTGAAGGAAACGACACCACTTAATTCGACTGCTCTATTAGTTGTTTGCTTCTAAATTTTTGTTCAAGTGACGACGATTGAGCAGTGCTATTTCCATTATCAGTTCTTGAATATCGTGTTATTTGACGTCATCAATTTAGAGTTGGATCAATGAGTAATTGAGTTTGACCAATAACGTTGTAATATAATTTATCAGTATTAATTAGGCGCTACAAGATCACATGGGGCATGAAAATTTCAACTGGGTCAAGGAGGGAATAATCGACATTTTTGGGAACCATTTTCTCAACGGATTTCATGAATCATTGACAAGGAAAAAAACAGTCAAACAGTAATACAATACGGATAATTTCTCATCATTATAATTCACGTCAGCTAAAAAAACATCAGCTAAAAAAACATCAGCTAAAAAAACATCAGCTAAAAAAACATCAGCTAAAAAAACATCAGCTAAAATTCTCATACTGGATTTGCTATCCATAACATCCCCCTAACAGTAAGTAATGAGATCGAGTGAATGGCAGCTTGCGACGTATCAAGTGGAAGATGTCAATAAGGTGAGAACTCAACACGATATACACGCATAGAATGAACATCCCTAACACTTCCATCGTTCAAGATTGAATAATTTAACGCTGCTGGCATCGGTGAATACCAATCTAGCATTCTGCATTTTTTACCTCACAAGCATCGCTCCGAATCCCGTTTTCTAACTATTTCAATTAATGAATTTGACGCGTGTACAAGCCTGAGCCGTTCCTGAGTGGCGGAGTTCGAAGTTCCTAATTAAGTAGGTATAAATTATTGACAATTGCAAGAACGTCATTTTACTTCACTCGCATCATTGAAATAAATTAAATATGATAAAAGCTTAATAGCTGGCATTGGTAGGAATAATCAGACCTATGCAGAGGGCTTGTAGACGCCTTCGTCCTCCAGCAGGTTGCAGAACGCGGCGACTCGTTCCTGCGTATCCACGTCCTGCACATCAACGTATTTATTAATTTTTAAGAAAAACTAACATTTAAAATAATCAAGCAACTAACATTTTGCAGAATTATGATTAATATTGCTAAGCCTTGATGTTGAATAATCCCTGCTACTATCGTTTTAAGTAATCAGCAGCAAAAAGCAGGGATCGTCACGCCTGCTGCTATTGTTTGTTTTGTTGTCCCTTAAATAATCCCTGCTACCATCGTGGTAGCTGGTAGGTAATAAATAGCAAAAGGCAGGGACCATCACGCCTGCTGCTATTGTTTGTTTTGTTATCCCTTAAATAATCCCTGCTACCATCGTGGTAGCTGGTAGGTAATAAATAGCAAAAGGCAGGGACCATCACGCCTGCTGCTATTGTTTGTTTTGTTATCCCTTAAATAATCCCTGCTACCATCGTGGTAGCTGGTAGGTAATAAATAGCAAAAGGCAGGGACCATCACGCCTGCTGCTATTGCTTGTTTTGTTATCAGTAACATTCCAAGCTATGAAGAAATAACGATATACACGCACCTTCATGACGCGCATGGTGTCCAGGAGACCCAGCAGCTTCTTGACGCCTACGAAGACCTCGCCGTGCGTGATGTGTCTGCACACCTCGTCCACCTGTGGGCAGGTCATTAGTGAGGTCAACATGAGGTAACGTACAGGTCATTAGTGAGGTCAACATGAGGTAACGTACAGGTCATTAGTGAGGTCAACATGAGGTAACGTACAGGTTGGTAAGGTCATTCACTCATTGGTATGGTGCAGGTCATTGGTGTGAGGGGTAAGGCCATTGATTGAGCATTCGAAGAGAGATTTCGCTATGAAGCATTTAGTTGATGCATACCGAAAGAATCACAGCATAACTAGGATGGATTACATCTAAACAATCCTTAATGTTATAAACGCCCGAGATCATGGCACCCAAGGAATTATGGTTATGCTGCCTGGCATCATAATTCTGTCCCTGATTTTATCACCGATTTGTGATGCTTTCTATACATTTCAATTTTCATTCGCGATCAGTTTCTCTGAACATTCAAAGTTACATACACTTATGTCAATGGCTTCAATTAAAAAATATTTTTATACAAATCTCGATTACAGATTTACTTAACTCTTCCATATTAGCGAAATGACTTTTCACACTACTTGAGAAGCTATTCACCTATCATCCTCCATCACGAATTCAGCAACTCAGAAGAAATTCAGTATCAAGCCCAAAGGTTGAGTTACACATGCTACAATTGCCTCTTGCAGCCACCTATAATGCCCCAACCGAAGCCCACTTATCAAAGATCACAAAACAGACGCTCAGCAACATGTCATGTCCCGTCCACTACTNCCAGCACCTTCCTGACGTCCTCCACCTCCCTGATGTAGGGCACCTGCAGCACCTTCATCACCCCACAAATAAGTCACTAGGATCACATCAGCAGAAGACATGGCCTGGGACTCCTCCAGCACCATCCTGACGTCCTCCACCTCCCTGATGTAGGGCACCTGCAGCACCTCCGTGAACATCGGCAGCAGCCCCAGCTCCTCCAGCACCTCACGCCTCTTGCTCGTGCAGATCACCAGCAGCCTATGACCCTGAATGGTGTACTTTGGTATTATAAAGTTGGTATTCTACTATTGGAAAACTTTATAGAAAAATGTCATCCAAATGATTTAGCAGAACATAACCATATGAGCAGAGCCACAGTTTACCTGCGGAGGTGGACACGACAGCAGCCGGCGCATCAAGTTCAACACATAGGACTCGCACTGCCATTCTTGTGAGCAGTGTCCTATCAGTCTTTCCAGGTCGTCTATGAAAATGCAGCTCAATGGTGACTTGTATGCACTGCTGAATATCTGAGAGGAAGAATATCTTTAGTCAAATGAGTAAGCAGAAATAAGATAAACACAGCTTAAATGAAAAAATGAAAAATGTGGGAAGAACTTCAGAGACAAATGACCTCAATCAAAGTTGGCGTCAACCAGTCTTAACTACAGCAACAGCAGCCTTTCTACAAGATTCATACCTAATTTCATCAACATATAGACGTAACTGGTGAAATGGATACATGGCATACAAGTTCACTTCAAGAAGGAACAAACAATTTGTTCCAATGCTCATTACCTTAAGACAACACACACCTTATTGATATGCTGGCACTTTTCTGAGCCATTGAACCCAATCATCTGACGAGTGGTAATCACTTGGATGCATTCAAAGCTGCTGTTCTTGGCAAGTTTTGCGGCCAGGGTCGTCGTACCCGCCAAATCAGAGCCATGAACAAGCATACAGTGAAGATTGCTCTTTGTCGAGTAACTGTAAGTAAACGTCATGTACAGTTGTTGAGTGACTAGAAGTAAAAATAATGACTTTTATTATAACATAATTCTTCAACTGGACAGATTTCCTCAATGGCATTGCTAACAGCAGGTTTCCACCATTGGCTTGTATCCCATAATTTTCAAGGAGTTAATAAATTTACACAGTTTATGGACAACATAAGATTTATAATCAGAACAGTTTTGTTCATATTTACACTATGGCTTGAATGTACAAAGATCTGCTAACAGACAAAATAAAGTTAAAAAATTATTAGGACAAATAAACAATGAGAGCTGGGAGACAACTTTACTTTCTCAACACATTGCTTCATCTTGCACTACATTATTTCATTTATTATGAAATTCTCAAATTGAGGATTTATATTGATTTTCCATTGGTCCTAAGCATTCTACAACAGGAATAATATGTATAATGTGTCAATAAATCTGAGCCAGCACAGTAAATACATTTTGAAAAAAAAAAGTGTCAAATACCTAGTTGAAATGGGACATATATGTAGTCCAGGGTTGCCACATGTTTTTTTTTTACAAATTCTGCAATTTAGTTTTTTTCAATGGTGTTGGCCAGCTCAAGTTTATAATAAGAGTACTTTCTAGTGAAATTTAAAAAACTGTACAAAGAAATAAATGAAATTTTTACACCGGACTCTACACATATATTAGTATATATAGTTATAGGCCCTTTTTGCTTGCAGACTTGGCTGTTTTTTAGGTCACCTGGCAACCCTGAAACATGTAGCACTATGTCCTGGAGAAATACACCTTGGGTACACATATGTACCACTTCAGAGTCAACGTATTAATCTATTTGGATGTAAAAAAAATGTTGAAGGAATAATTGCCCGATGGAGCTCAGAGCTTTTAAATGACATGAGAACTTCCCTCATAATTGCATGCATGTGAAGTAGAGGGTGGCTCATAAACAAAATTTTCTAATTTCATAATACTTGACATTTATAAAACTGCTACTGCTTGTTATACAAGGTGTACAAGATTTCAGGTACATAGGAAAATATTCAGAGATTATATACATCATTACTCTGAATTTTCAGATATTTAAATATTTCTTAATCTCACCCTAGGACACATGAATTTATTTTTAGCCTTGAGATTTCAATACATTTATAGGTTACCATCAATATAGAAATCAGAATTCACTCTGATTCATGAACAATAACAGGTTGAACATTTTGATAAACTAAAAAAATGTTAATTTTTAAGTAAAATATAATGCATACTGCACATGCTAAAGGTATAGGGCATTTGTTACACTTGACATATTTTAATTTAATTACAATTTGTTAGCATAAATATAAAATTACTTATACAATATTATCAAAACCCTACAGCCTACAATTGTGCGAAAGCTGCAAAATTTTTGGTTAGAACAACTAAAACAGCTTGATTTGTAAACAAAAATAGGCAAATGAATCCCTATTGCTAACCAGTAAAAAATGAAATAAAAACTAAGTAAATAAGAAACTCGGAAACATCAATGCTAATTATATCAAACAGGAAAATTAATTACATATAGTAATACATTGAAGAAAAGCAAAATTATGATGAATAACTATCACACTGAGAGGATCTGCTCACCAGGCATTCTGGATGAAATTGAGGCCATCCGCCAGCACGTTGTTATTGTGGCCGAGCGGGATGATGCCCCCTTTGGTGAACTCATCAAGTTCATCACTTGACAGGCTGGGCAGATTTATGTCCTGAAAATTGATAGCATAGAGCTTAAGCTCCACCTAATGAAAGAGCTTGAAGTTCAACATCATCTTAAGAGAGAGCATGAAGTTCTAAATCATCTTAATGAGAGAGCATGAAGTTCAACATCATCCTAAAGAGAGAGCATGAAGTTCAACATCCTCCATAAGAGACAGCTCAAAGTTCAACATCATCCTAATGAGAGAGCATGAAGTTCAACATCATCCTAATGAGAGAGCATGAAGTTCAACATCATCCTAATGAGAGAGCATGAAGTTCAACATCCTCCTAATGAAAGAGCTTGAAGTTCAACATCCTCCTAATTAGAGAGCATGAAGTTCAACATCCTCCTAATTAGAGAGCATTAAGTTCAACATCCTCCTTATAACAGAGCAGCAAATTCAACATCCTCTGAATTAATGAGGATGGAATTCAACATCCTCCTGAGGAGACATCAGGAAGTTTAACATCCTTCTAATGAGAGGTGAAATTTTACATCCCCATCCTGACATTCTCTCGTTTTACTTCCTCATCTCCTTGTAAAGAAGATGAAATGTTACTCTCTCTTTAATTTCAGCTAGGGGGTGGAACTTTACATACTCAGAAATCACAATGAAGTTCTACTTCCTCACATAGAAAGATGAAGTTTGCTACAGTGACACTATACCAACTCCCACATATTATTACTACTTTACATATAAACCTAAGGATTGAGATAATAGAAATTATATATACAAGAATGAACTGAGAAAACAATGCTTATTTTTTCCCTTCAGTAATTTTTTTTTTCAATTTGAATGTATTGTGCAAAGAAACACACTTGATACCAGCATACAGCATGTGATGCTTGGGCTGTGGGATCTCTATCATTATTAATAGATTCATATTGGAAGACACTGTCAAATAAGGGAATAATAATGATAGAATTTTGCTATTGATATAAAAAGGAA